GGGAGAGGGTTATGATTAGGAAGAGGAAGCAAAATCATGTTAGGGAGGTGGGTGAGTGGGTGAGAGAGAAGAGTTGTCTGCCACCGAGCTCTTCTTCAGCATTAAACTCATCTTCCAACAAACCCCTCCCTTCCCCATGACCCATTTCTTCTCCCACCCCCACCCCCACCTAGGTCCTTAGGGGCTCTGATGGTATTAACCCCCAACAGTCCCCACCACAGGGGAGGCAGCCAGCCTCAGCTATCTGTGGGATGGAGGGGCTGGGGAAGTAGGGCTAGGTGCCCAGACAGCCGCATGTGTAGGAGGGGATGTCCTCGTATGCCCTCCACCCGGCAGTCCCAGCTCTGACGTGGGTGCCCCCCCCCTTCCCTGCCCAGATTAGTGGCAGCTTGGTCTGGCTGTCCGGGGCTGCCCTCCCCCGCTCTGGGGGCTGCTCCAGTGGAGGGAGGCCTGGCTAGTCTGCCCAGGTAGGGGACTCTGAGGAAAGGGGTGAAGGTGGGTGGAGCTCCCAAATGCCCGTATGTTTGTTTGTGTTTGTGCTTGTCCGTGTGGGGGTTGGTTCAGGTCTGTGTCTGGGCACGCCTATGTTTTGGGTATTGGTCGGCTCGCCTTTGTGTGTGCATCCATTTGTGCATCACTTTTTCCTGTGTGTATTTGTGTCCTTCATGTGCATTGCCACAGTGCTGCTCCACTCTCAGGCCAAGAGGTGCCGACTGAAAGGCCCTGGGCTCTGGTGTCAGCCCAGGAGAGCTAGACTGGAAGCCGGGATTGGGACGGGTGGGGCTGTGGAGGGGACTCTCACTGCACCCCATCGCCCCCACTTCCCAGGTTCTCTGACAGCCTATGGGAACAGTGTCCAGGAGCAGTCAGGGTAAAGATGAGTCACAGACCTTGAGGAAAACTACCTGGCCTGTCACCCAAGGGGGCTTGTCCTCACCCACATCAGGACTTGGAGAAGTGGGGCTTGGGACTTGGGTCTCGCCAAGGGTCCTTAGTCTCCTAAGGCCTAAGCCATAGGCTTTCCCCACTGGCACTCTCTAGCCTACCGGCTGCTGGCTGGGGGACACCAAGAGAAGATAGATAAGTTACAATCCTGCCAAGTACCCCTGGTCACATAGTGCCACCCTCTTGTACTCCCTCAAGCTAATCTCAGGATGTATATTGGGGATGGGGGGTGGGGGTGAGGGTCAGGAATAGAAGTTCTGGTCTCTCCCATCTTCCAGACAGGCCAGGCCCAAGCCAGCCCAGGGGAGGGAGTTACCTCCAGACATGGAGGCTATAACACTGGATGAGAATTTATGTTAATATACCACAGGCTCTGAATGGCCCCTTGCTTCCTAGGAACTCTTCTCTCTGCTCAAGCCCCACTCACTATCCCTTAATCTTCCAACTTCTTCCTTCTCCTGCCTCTCACAAGTCCTTAATAGGTTGTCTTCTTTCTGACTTGTATCTCCACTGACGGTAGCGTGTCTCAGGGGTCCAAAGAAGGAACCCTGCTCCCCTTCTTCCCCTTCCCTTCCACCTGAATCCTCCCATCTAATGACAGTAGCTAGGTTTGTGGATCAGGGATAGGTCCTAACACTACCTTGGTCCCAGACTAGATGGAGGGCTGCTCTCTCCAGATCCTGACTTAAGAGGGTAAGGGATGGGAAATAGGTGCCCAGGTGAAGGGAAACGCCTCTTGAGCTTGTGTATGTGTATGAGTTGTCTGGCTGTCTGTGAACCTGGTTATGCTTTTTGAACCACCCCCACACAGGAACCCTGATGCTTCCTTGGGTGGAAGGGTACCTTACTTTCCCATTTCCTCTCCCACTCTTGGGTCCCTCCTTCTGGGCCACTCCCATCAACTGCTTTCCTGTGTTGAGCCTAGAAGCCCTGGGAACACTGGGGAGTAGAATAGGATGTCACAGTGAGAAAGGACCTCAGAGAGTATCTACTTCAACCCCATCATTTTACAAATGAGGAAACTGAGACCCAGGGAGAGCTTATGTTGTCCTTCAAGTAGTTAATAGCAGGGTCTGGCTAAGGGAGAGAGTGTTGGGAGTAAGGGGTGGGGATTAAGATGAAAAGGTGTCCCTAGGGCAAAGGGAAAAAAGGGGAAAGGGATACATACATCTATGTGAGATAGACCCCCCTCCATGGCATAGAACAGATGTTTCCCATCCTTAACCCCATGAGAACCTGACTGCTACTGCCAGCAATGACACTGCCCCTTCCTTTCATGCCCTACCCTGGAGGGGGGCAGCCCCACCCCATGAATCCTGCCCAGCCCCTCCCGCCCTTTGCTCCAGTTCCCCGGCTTGGCAACTACTAGCGGGGTGCTGCCCGCCTGCCAGGCTCCGGGCCGGCCCACGGGAGGGTGGGGCCGCTGGGAAGCTGGCACGTTGCCCTGGGGGAGCCTCTCTCAGCAGGCGCCCGGGTGCCGCTGATGTGGGGGGAAGGGGGGAAACAAAAGACTCATTCTCTGGGTGCGCAGCCGGTGGCATCGCAGGGGCGTTGGCGGAAGCCCCGGGGGGCCAGGAGGGGGCAGGCCTGGGCGGGGCTGAGGAATCACGGGCTCCTGTTCCCCCAAGGGTGCAGGAGGAGTAAACCAGCGGAGCAGCTTTTCGGCTCCCCCAGTTGCGCGTCCGGCGATGGCGATAGGAGGTCCCGCTGCGCTCTCCGTGCCGCTTGGTCTATACTAGCCGCGCTGCGCTGCGCTCCCTTGGTGCCACCTTCCAGGGCACCCTGGTCGCCCCCCCAACAACCCCTTCCCCTGGCCTCTCGGCCGCGTCCCCCCCCTACCTTTTCCAATCCGGGGCGCCTTCTCCCCCCGGTCCAGCTTACTCTCCCCTCGGGGAGCCCATTCCCCCCAGCCCAACCCACTCTCCCTCCGGGGAGCCCTCTCCCCCACCTCCGTCCAGCTCACTCTCTCTCCGGGGGCGGCCGCTCCCCCGGCCCAGCTCCCTCCATCCCCGGGGCACCCGCTCCCCAACCCCGACCCGGCCCGGACCACCCAGAGGCGCAGCACGGAGTCTCGGCGGCCCATGGCGCAGCCCACAACCTCAGCCCAGAAGCTGGTGCGGCCCATCCGCGCAGTGTGCCGCATCCTGCAGATCCCGGAGTCTGACCCCTCCAACCTGCGGCCCTAGAGCGCCCCCGACGCCCGGGGGAGACAGGGGGTGAGAGGACCCCGCAGGCCCAGAGGTGGCTCATGGGGAGGGCGCGTCCAGCACTAGCCAGGACTCCCGCTGCCCTCGCGCCAGGCCCCAGCAGCACAGGTGAGTACTTCCAGCGGGACTGAGGAGAGCACCGGCATCTGGGCTCCACGAGTGTTGAACTGATCCGTCAAATTGTCTTGGACCCATGTGCCTCCATATAAAGTTGTTCGTCCCTGGGGCAGCATTCCCACTTTAAATTGGCCCTCTAGAAAACCAGGGAGTCCTGTTTCTAAAGTTCCCACTCTTCTTACTCTCGTCTTTTTTCTTTCTGTGGCACTGGGACCCCTAGACTGGACTGGTGCAGTATTCCCCTGAGAAACAGTGCCAGCCCTGTGTCATGCTGTCATGCTAGTTTCAGTGACACCTGTCACACCAGTCTTGGTACTTCCCTGCTCTACTTGGGAGTTTCCCTCTTTTCCCTGCCCCTCTGTCTCAGGCTAAAGGGCTCTCTCCCTGTCTCTTCCTCTTCTAAGGGACATGATTATTCCCTGAGTTAGAAAGACCTCACCAAAGCCAGCCGGGATGTCTTTTAATTCCCCTTCACTTTAGGACTTCTCCATGGAGCTGTCTCAGCTTTGCCAGGAGCAAGGACTCACCTGAGCCCAGGGGGAGATTCCAGACCCCTTCAGTTGTTCTGGGCTCCCTGGGGGAGCTAAATGGGATAATCTTAGAGGACCAAGAACAGGCAGAGTTTCTACCTGGCATGACGTGCCAGGAGAGTTGCCAAAGTAATGCCCTCAGCCCTAGGGTGCATTCCTCCCTAGTAACTTCTTTTTACCACATATATACTTTTTTCACTCCTGGAGGCTAGGATGGAACAATTGGAACAGAGCTAAGCCTCAGTTTCCTTGTCTGTAAAATGAGGGGGTTGGAGATAATATTTGAAGTCCCTTGCAGTTTTAAATATTATGCTATGGTCATGACTCCTAGGCTCAAGATTTCAAAGCTGGATGAAACCTGAGAAACCATTTAGTTAAATTTCCTTAACCCAGAGAAAGAAATTGAAAGAAAGTCACGCACTTAATAAGATTCCAGAGCCAGGACCCAAATCTTCTGATTCTCAGTCTTATGGTTTTCCATAAAGAGTTCCAGACCTTTCTCCTGGGCTCTCCTTTTCCCTTCTTTAACGTGCTGGTGAAGAGGAAGTCCTAGGTTCTATCTCCTGATGATGTAGCGAAGAGAACACTAAATTCGGTAGAGCTTCCGAGGTAGGTCTGAATCTAGGCTTTGCTGCTCACTAACCCGTGTTCCCTTGAGTGAGCCATTTAAACCTCTTAGAAGCTCAGGGCCTTCCTCTGTACAAAGACGTGATTAGACTAGATATTTTCCACTTTTAAATCTATGCTTTTCAGTCCCCTCACCCCACCCCAAGTGTGTGGGACTGAAGAGCTCTGCCCAATCCAATCCAATCCAATCTAAGAAGCATTTATAAACTGTGGATTAGGTGTAAGGCACTATGGTAGGTGATGGGGTACAAAGATAAAGATGAAACTATCCTGCCATTTATCATTTAACAGCTAAGACCATAAATGGAGATTTGAGGAGGTAAAGATTGCTAATGACTAAGGGGACCAGGAAAGGCTTCCCATGGCAGGTAACACATAAGATGAGTCTTGAATAAACCTTAGGATTCTAAGAGAAGAAGGTGAGGAGAGAGTGAATTCCAGTGAAGGGGCACAGCCTGTTCAAAGTCATGGAGGCCGGAGATGGAATGCTGAGTTTGGGAAACAGCGAGTAGACCAGTTTGGCTGGAACAGAGAGTTCATGAAGGGGCGTAACGTGAAATAAGCCTGGAAAGGTAGGCTGGAACCAGACTGGGAATGGCTTTAAAGGCTAAGCTGAGGAGTTTTAAATTTTATCCTAGAGGCAATAGGGAATCATTAGAGATCCTTGAGCACAGGGAAATGACATGGTCAGTCTGATCTATGATCTGACTTTTTATGTGATATTACATATTAATGGAAGGTATTTAGGCTTATAGGCTATTTTCCACCAATAACCAACCACAACTGCATACTAATAAATATGGAACAGGAAGTTGAATATTACAAAAATGAAGCAGTTTTTCAACCAAGATAAAATAATATGTATCATTAGTGAATTATGTTTCTATTTACTGATTTTCTAGTCAGATGAAACTGATGGTACAAATATTTAAAGATGTTAAAAGATACAAAAAACAATAATAAAAAGAGCCCCCAACTCCACTCCTCCTATTCCTACTGAGGTTCCCTGGCTTTGGTGGAATACGGCAGGGAGTAGGGGGAGGGGTGGGGAGGAGAGGGAAGTAGAGCGTTGCTTCTTTAGAGTGGGGGCATCAACATGTCCAGGGTGGGAAGCTTAGGGTAGTGTGTGGGCAGGCAGCTTGGTGCCTAGTCGTTGGCTTGTACTTGCCTTACCGGTTTGTGCTGCCTCGATGCCGCCAGGGTGGGGCTCTCTTTGTATCAGGCAATAGGGATGCCCAGGCAATGTGCCTGAGCCCATGCTTTCTTGGTTTCATCACAGGGAGCCCCTTTGTGAGAGCCCCATGAGGGCAGAGGCATCATGGAAAGCACACCCAGCTACCTGCAAGATGCCCCCACCTGGGAGAAGCCAGCATCAGAGAATGGCATCAGACAGGAGCCAGGCACTTTGCCACGGGGTCCACACCATGGACCACTGTGCCTGGGGGAGCCTGCTCCCTTTTGGAGAGGCACCCTGAGCACCCCAGACTCTTGGTTTCCACATGGCTTACCCCATGGCTCAAATGACCCACTTCCATTCTTGGGGGGTGAGGGACCCCGTAATGGTGAGGGAAAGGCTGGATGGTTGGGGGTCAAAGAGGGGCTTCGATGGAAGGAAGCAATGCTAGCCCATCAGTTGGCACTCTGTGGGCAGCCATGTCCACCCCGTCACAACCTCCTGCCCCCAGAGCAAGGAGGCAGCAACTCCAAGAATGACCCATTGGCTTTCCGGCCTTTACATTGCCCCTTCCTTCTGGAGACCAAGATCCTAGAGAGGACCCCTTTCTGGGTGCCCACCTGCCTGCCTCCTTACTTGGTGCCCAGCCAGACCCACGATCGGCCTTCTGACTGGCCCCTAGCTCCTTATCCTTGGGCATACCTGGGGCCCCCGCCCAAGAGTCCTCCTGCTTTTAACTCAGGAAGCAAGGTAAGGACTTGAAAGTGTTGAGAATACCCAGAGGGAACTCAGGCTGGGGAGGCTGTAATGAAAGGAAAGGAGAGAAACACTTGATTCTCTTGGCTCAGTGAAAGCTCTTCTTTGGAAGAATTCTACTCAATTCAACAAGTTCATGTCCTACCTTCCCCTACAGGCACCAGATTAGAGGACATGAAGGCGGGGTATTTTAACTCAGAGACCTGGCCTGGGACCCCAGGATCAATTTCAAGTTAATTGTCCTCCATAGATCATTCCTTCATTTCCCCAGGTCCACTCACCCCTATTCCATCCCTCTCTATTAAGAGCCAAAGCCAGTGCCCAGCTTACCCCCCCTTTTTTTTCTCCCTTTAGGGCTTTTATCACAAAGATCTAGGCATACCTCGCCTGGCAAAAGAGATGTCGACCACTGCTGAACCTGGGTTGTTGGGCGTAGCCCCTGGTGGGCATCTTCAGAGAGCTGGGGAGATGGATTGGTCCCTACCCTACCAAAAGGATGGGGAGTCAGGGGCCAATGGGCACCAGAACCTTTGCCCACTGCTTGGGGGGTGCCCAGATATAATCAGCAGCCGGACCATCTGGCCTACTCACACCCCAGGCTTTGTTCATACTCTCGGAAGTTCCTGGGTAGTGCCTCGAAATGAGAACCTCAGAAACCCCCAACCAGGGCCACCCTCTGGGTCAGAGTGCCCTTCACCAGGGCAGTCTGTCAATCAGGTGGGCTGCTGTCTATCCCACCTACCTGCTGGAGATGGGAGTCATAGCCACTGTGGAAGGTGCCAGGCAAGCACAGAAGGTGATACTAGTGGGACAGCTGGGTCCACTGAAGAAGTCGGCAAGCATCCTGGGCCTGGGCCCTGCCCCCCAAGCCACCATACCAAGCTAAAGAAGACCTGGCTCACTCGGCATTCTGAGCAATTTGGGTGTTCGGCTGGGTGCCCAGGGGAGGAGATGGGCCTAACCACTCAGGTTGGGTCCCTCAAGAGGGAGGGAAGTCCTGAGGTGGGGGGAGCAGCTGGCAGCCCAGCTCCCAAGCGTCCAGCTGACTCCTTCCCAGGCAGTCAGGGGCAGGGGGCTGGGAGTTGGCAGGAAGCTTTGGAACCACCACCTGGGAGCAAGGCTGGGATGACAGAACATGATGGCTGGAGAGGTGAGGAGTTTGATGGCAGCTGGGGCATCTGGGACTTGGGGAATAAAGGCAAGAGCTAGAGGGTGAGGCTTGGGGTGGGATTCTGGCCCTGTCTCATACTCAGCAGGTCCTTTTCCAGTTGCTTACTATACTAACATCTAGACTGTTTTTCCATCTGGATCCCACTGATTCCTTGGGGACTTTGCAGTGCCTCCACTTTGGGCACATTTCTGCCCACATCTGGATTCTTTTTTTGTTTACCTGCCGCATCAACGTGTTGGGACTGATATCCGACCTCAACACTAGCCCAGTACTTTGCCATGGCACTGCCAACCCCTAGCAAAAGAGGGGGCAGTATAGCTCTGATGCAGCTCCTTCCCAGTCATCTTGGAGGAGCCTTTGCTGACCCATGCTCTCTGAGCCAGGAACTGTTCCTTCTTTTGCCCAGTTGGATCACGGACCCCAAGCTGGGACTCTGTGTGCTTTTGACTAATTGGGCCATTATTCCATTGCCTGGACTCTCTGATGTCTCTTAGACACTGGAATCTCAGTGCCACATTGGTGTTCTCCAACTTCACTTGGGGGATAATTGCTATTTTGGAGCGACAGTCCTCTTCATCTGTTTTCCTGAATTGTTAGATTTCAGCAAGTTAGGTGGAGCTATTTTGCCTTTTGGATTTATATGCCTGAGATAGACCTGTCCCAGCTCCTTCACCATCTGGATCACTGTACCTCTGGACCTGGGCTCCTCTGGACCTCTCAGATCCCTAAGCCTAGGCTGATTCTGTTTTGATGGTGTCATCTTTGTGGGACTTCTCACAACTGTGACCTGAGTTGGGACTGTGCTATCATCTTACCCTACTGTTGGTTGCCTTGGAACTCTCACGTCACTCTGGCGATGGTATCGCTATGCCCACAATTGGAACTATCCAACTTCTTCACTGGCTAGATCACTACTCTTGGGCTGGGATGATCACCCTTACCCCAGTCTTGGACCCCTACCCCCAAAACACCAGGCCTCCTTCCCCATTCTCTGTTTACAGGCATTTCTGTGACCCATTTCAGCTGGCTTGAGAATCATTGCTCACAGAACCCTGGGCTAGGGAGGTGGGTAGGTGGGGCTGTAGTGCTGGGAAAGGGGCTGAAGGATAATAAGGGAGGCTGTGATTGGTAGCATTCTTTCAGGTAGATCAAAGGAGAGTCCTGACAGTATGCATTATCCCCTCAGGATTCCTGGGCAACAGGCCTGGCCTTGATGGACTTGAGCTCCAGAATGTGCCTTGCACAGCTCTGCCAGCAGGAATGACTCGTTGCCAGAGCTGTGCCCTTGGGGAAAGGGAAGATAAAGGAATGGCTTGTCACTTTCTGAATGTTCGAAGGTGAGTCTTTGCTAGCACCCACCACACACACCCAATTTCTCTCCCAAGACTTCCCTGTGCTGGGAATCCCCTTCTTCCAGGCTCTGGCACCCATTTCAATTCTTCAAAGACTCTTGTTTACGGATCCCTCTCCTTTGCTTCTCCCCTATCTCCAGGTTACCTTCAAGTGGAACAAGGACAGCCGAAGGTGAAGCTGGCCATGCTGAGGAGAGCAGAGGCCTCAGGCCCAGTCCAGACACCAAGCTGAGCGTGCATCTCGCCAAATATCTGCTGAATAGCCTGGGAGACAGATTCTGTAGACTACTTAGAAGGGAGCGAGAGGCCCTTGCCTGGGCTTTGGAGGAAGGTAAGCAAGAGTTACAGTGTCTGGAAACTTTGGACTAGGAATAATCAGAAGCTGATTTCTTACTATGTACCATAGTAAACAAGGGGGAAACAAGTTTACTTTGTATCTATTCTTGTATGTACCCTATATTTTATACACACACACACACACACACACACACACACAGAGTACCTATTTATGTACATATTGTCTCTCCTAATAGCATGTAAGATCCTTGAGGGCAGAATTGTTTATACTTTTTTCTTTGTATCCTCAGGCTTAGCACAGTACTTGGCACATAGTAGGTACTTAATAAATGCTTGGTGTTTGTTGATTAATGAATCTGTCTAAGCATATACCTAATATATGGCTAACATTTATGTACATTTGCTATGTGCCAGGCACTATGCTAAGCACTTTACAATTATTGTCTCATTTGATTCTTATAACAACCCTGGGAGGTAGGTGCTATTATGATCCTCACTGAGGCAAACAAAGGTAAAGTAACTTGCCCAGCCCAGGGTCACTTAGCTAGTAAGTGTCTGAGGCTGGATTTGAATTTAGGTCTTGCTGACTCCAAGCCCAGTGCTCTATCCACTGTACCCCTTAGCTGCCTAAATGAATGCTATATAGTTTGGGGAGCAAAGGCACTGGAAAAACTGGGGAGATCAGGAAAGGCTTTAAGTAGAAGGGGGTATCTGAGTTGTCTTGAACAGAGGTCTCATAGGGTCTTGGTTGGCCTCTGCTCATTAATCCTTTACCCCTTTCCCTATATAGTTTGTCTACTGATATTTCATACTATAGTCACACAACCAGTCAGCAACTGATGTGAAAAAGATGTGGGGATTTCAGTGAATTGCTAGGAGCTTGGTATGATTCAGCAATGTGATTGTGGAGCCAAAGTATCTGTCACAATCCTAAACACCAAGAGGTGCTTGGTGTCCAGAACAAGAAAGGTCACAATCCTGCTGTATCCAACCCCATTCAGAACGCTTCTAGGATATCATGTTTGCTTCTGGGCACTGCATTTTGGGAAGGACACTAATAGGCTAGAGCAAATACAGAAGAGATGACCAGGTTGGTGAGAGCATGTCCAGAAGGATTGGTTGAGGGAACTAGAGGGTGTGGAGCCTGGAGAAGAGAATACTTTGGAAGGACATGATAATTATCTTCAAGTATTGGAAGGTTCATATAGAAGAGAAATTAAGTTTATTCCATTTACTTCAAGGGGTGGACAACTAGGATCAGTGGGGAGAAGTGACAGAGAGGCAGATTTGAGTACAATTGAAGGAACATTTTCTTAAAAATCATCTGTCTCAAAAATTGAATGGGGATACTTAGGAGATAGTAAATTTTGCCTTACTGGAAGCCTTCAAGTAGATCCTGGCTGGCCAGTTGTCAAGGATGTGTGGAGGAGGTCCATCCACTGGGCAGAATGATTAGTTTAGCTTCATTTCACAATAACTTTGCTAATGTGGGCAAAACAAGTTGTAAAATACCTTACCTGCCACTTCCATTCACTTGTAACTAACATTCATAGCATTGCTCCTATTGAGCTTCCCTAATACTGTTTTGCGTGTTTGGAGAAACTAAGTAAGGAAAGGCAACTAGTTGGCTCAGTGGATAGCACACTGGACTTGGAGTCAAGAAGACCTCAGTTCAAATTTGTCCCTAGATACTTACTAGCTCTGTGACCCTGGACAAGTCACTTAACTTCTATTTACCTTAATTCACTGGAGAAGGAAATGGCAAACCCCTCCAGTGTCTTTATCAAGAAAATCCCGTGGACAGCATCGGTAGGACGTAGTCCATAGGGTCACAAAGAGTCAGACAAGATCAAACAACAACAGTTAACGAGAAGCAGTGTGGAGTAGTTGATAGAGAGCTGGCCTCAGAGTCAGGACAGCCTGGATTCAAGTCCCTCTTCCATTACACATTGGCTAGGTGATCTTGGACAAATCACTTACCTTCTAAATGCCCCAGACGACTCTCTAAAACTACCAGCTGGGCAGTTGTTCATCGGCATTAGTAGAGGGAGATGGCTCACTGGGAGTTCCCTACAGTGATGAAATCACAGATCTAAACAAAATAATAATAACAATGATGACCTTAAATGGGACTTACCTATGCTCCTTATTGTAGCCTTTTCAAGGTCCTCAGTGCAGAACTGAACTCACAGCTGATACTCAATTAATACTCATAGAGGAAATGGAGGGGAAGGAGAGAAGGAGTAAACATATGAATGACTGAACAAAGAGATGTTGGAGGAAGAAGGGGAGGGAATAAGTGTTTATATAGCACCTACTATGTGCCAGACACTGTGCTAAGGGCTCTACACATATCTCATTTGGTCCTCAGTGCGTCTTGGGAGGTAGGTGTTATTATTATCCTCATTTTACATTTGAGAAAACTGAGGCAAACAGAGGTAAAGGATCACACAGCTAGTGTGAGGTGGGATTTAAGGTCAGTTGTTCCTGACTAAACCCAGCACTGTTCCACTAGCTGTTGAGTTTGGGATAAATATCAAAGATTGGCCCAAAAGTCAATGGGAAATGATTAGAAACTGGTTGGTAGACACAAACTTTTTGAGCTGTTAGGCTGCTGTTGCTTGTATTTGTGGCTAGACTCTATTTATTGGTTGGAGGGGCAGCTAGGTAGCACAACCCTGGGGTCAGGAGGACCTGAGTTCAAATCTGGCCTCAGACACTTACTAGCTGTGTGACCCTGAGAAAATCACTTAACCCTGCTTGCCTCAGTTTCCTTATCTGTCAAATGAACTGCAGAAAGAAATGGGGTTTGCCAAGAAAACCCCAAATGGGGTCACAGAGAGTCAGACCAAACTGAAACAACAACAACCATCAGTTGGAGAGGCCTGTTAGGCAAGGCAGCCCTAGTGGAAAGAAGACTGGGTTTGGGGTCTTTTGACCTTGGATTAAGTCTTGGCTCTGAGACTTAATTATCTGTGACCTTGAGGCAAGTCACTAAATCTCTGAATTTTGTTTTCCTCATCTGTAAAACAGAGGTGGAGGAAGATGGGATAATATCATGCATTTGCCAGCTTCACAGGGCTATTCCGAGGATAAAATGAGATAATACATTTAAAATGTTTCTTAGACTCTAAAATTACATGTAAATGAGACCTTTGTTAGGCATGGCAAGGATACTCTTTGCAGGGATTAGAGGGGTCCCTTTATCCATGTTTATCATTAGTAATCAACCAAGATTTATTAAGTACCTACTATGTGCTGGGCACTGGAGTTATAAAACAAAAATGGAATAATCCCTGCCCTCAAGGAGTTTCCATTCTAGTGGGGGAGATAACTTGTGCACAGACAAGTTAAAATGGAATAAACACAAAATAATTACAAGATATTTGGAGGAGGAAGGATGCCAGCAGCTGAGGGTGATGGGGATTGGGAGATACTTCCTGTAGAAGGCAGAGCTTGTAGGAAAGAAGCTGTCTCCTTCTGATCCCTTGGAGTCATAAAGGGCTTTAGAAATGGAAGGTGGTCTGATTAGCTCCTTCCTTCCCCCTACTCCTCTACCAGGCTTATGGTTTACCTTCATTCTTTGGGAAGGGTGAGATGATAACCAAAACAACTCCTATCCCTGATCCCTCTGAGGATGAGTTCTTTGGCCAGATGCTGAGTTCTTTGGCCAGATGCTAAGTTCTTTGGTTTTTATGTGTATTTTCTCTGCAGTGGGGGAGCCCAACCCTTCTTCTATCCCATGGGAGGACCCCAATGCCCCAAGATCCTGTAGCCGCTGCTATCGTGGACTCTTCAACACCCACTGGGGCTGCCCTCACTGCTGCTACAGGCTCTGTTTGGCCTGTGGCCATGTTGGGAGGGCCAGGGACACCACAGGTATGGAGTGAATGCTTGTCTGGGAGTCCAGAAGAAGGAGGAACGGGAAGACAGGGTCTGAGCCACGCTTAGCCCCATCCCCAGCCCTAGCCTCCATTTAACACCATCTGAGGTAGCTGCAGACAAACAACCCTACTGGGGAGTGTCTGTGACTAAGCCAAATTAAATCTTACCCTCAGCAGATCCTTGCTTTCTAAGAGCTGATTTTTATGACCTTTGGGGTTTTTTTTTGCTCCTTTGACCTCTGACCTCTCTGTTCCCACCTCAACAGGCTTTCGGGAGCAGCCCCCGGAGGGATGTGCCCACAGCACTGGGCATGATGCCAATTCTCTTACGCTGACCCAGTTTGTCCCCAGCCAGGGTGAGCCAACTGGGGTGTACAGTACTTATGGCAGGAACCAGAGGGACCCCAGCTAGATAGTGGGAGAAGCTCTCCTTTCCTTCTGCCTCCTGAATCCCTCCCTGATCCCTGGCACCTCCTGGTTTTCAAGTGTGGGCTGGGAGGGATAGGGAAGGGAGAAACCCCCTTGCTAGTAGTCTTCACTGTCTATCTTTTTCCCAGTCCTAAGAAGCGACTTCCTTCCTTCTCTCGCACCCTTAGCCTTGGCCGAGCTGAGTACCAAGATGCACCAAGTCCGGGCCAAGTTTGACATCCGAGGGCACTGCCCTTGCCAAGCTGATGCTCGAGTGTGGGCTCCTGGGGATAGAGGACAAAAGGTAAGAGCTGAGAAGAAGAAATAGGGATGGCAGGGGAGAGTCCCAAGGGACCTTGGGGTGGAGGTGGGGCAGCCTGTCTCTGAGCTCCAAACACTTTAACAAGTTTTCTTGGTATCTAACACCATGTTGCATGAATACCCTAAAGGGGCCGCCAGTTATACTTGGTGATGGTGATAAGAGCTGGGTGAAAACAGGCTTTTTGTCCTGTGTTCTGAGCTGTGGGTTTGGGAGCACTATATAGGGGCAGGAAGGATTCATGGGAGAAATTTTTCCTCTTACCCCATACCTCCCTAATCACCCCATTGCTTACTTCTAAAGTTTTGGTTGGATTGGGGGTGGGTGGGGATGGCTTTGACAGAAGGAGCCAACAGAAAAAACTCCTGCAGCCCCACAACCCTCTTGCAATGGTGATGCACACAGAACCAAGGAAATCAAAGAAGGTGAGCCCTCCTTGCCTCTCCTCCAGAGCTGTTTGAGAACCTGGGCAGGAGGGAGACAGGCTGGGGTGGAGGGAGAGGAAGAGAGGACTTTCCCCTAACAGGAGCTCTAGAGTTGGGAGATCTTCCAGGATCATGTAGAGGTAGAAGAGGGGGATAGGTATGATTGAGCCACTTTGGAATGAATGTGGGGAGGTCCTTAGGAAGTAGGTGGAGCAAATTTATAGGGAAGGGAAATAGTGTATTTATTTATTTATTTTTGGAAATAGTGTATTTATATAGACTGGTGTGACATTCTTGTTGGGCCTCTACAATCCTAGTCTTTACTTCCACAGAGGCCACAGACTCCACTGAAACTCCAGGAGAAGCCCAAGGAGCCCGGGGATCCCTGCCCTGCCCCTCCCTCTGTGAACTTCTTGCTTCCACTGCTGTCAAGCTCTGCCTGGGCCATGAGCGCATCCACATGGCCTTTGCCCCTGTGACCCCAGCCCTGCCCAATGTGAGTGCCTGGGGGGAAGATCTCAGGCCCTGGGGGACCATTGAGTTAGCAGTGGGCTCAGTCAGGTCTCTCTCTGGACTCACTTGACTAATCTCCATGTTGACAGAAACCGTGTCTTATCTAAATTTAGCCAGTACTGAGCATAGTGTTCTGTACTGAGTAGGCGCTTAATAAAAGTTTTTAGCATTACGTGAAGGCAGAAGAGGGGAGTGTGAGGAATTGTGTTGACCCACATGCTGTGGTGTGCAGGATGATCGAATCACCAACATCTTGGATAGCATCATTGCCCAGGTGGTGGAGAGAAAGATTCAAGAGAAGGCACTGGGGCCAGGGCTTCGCAAGGGACTCAGCCTGCCCAGCCCTCCTACTGCACGTGGCCTGCCTTCTCGGGGGGCCCTGCTGTGGCTTCAGGAACCCCGACCCCGACACAACTTCCAGCTCTTCCAGGATCACTGGAGACAGGGCCAGGTGAGGGCTTACTCCTGGCTACCCCCACCCAGGTCACCCAAGCTCTTACCCTAAGTCCTTCCTAGCTCCTTGTAGACAAGGGAGACCTTGTTCCAAATCTGTCCTTCTCTTTAGTCTCACACAAATAAATTATATAGACTCCTTCCCTAATTCCTGGCTATGGCCCTTTCTTGGATCCATTCTCCTTTCCTGGTCTTTCTCTCCCTAATTCTCCCCACTACAGCCCGTGCTGGTATCTGGACTACAGAGAACTCTGCAGAGCAGCCTTTGGGGGCCAGAAGCCCTCAGGACACTGGGGGGGAAGGTGCAGGCCCTGAGCCTCCTTGGGCCCCCTCGGCCTACAGACCTGGGCAGCACAGCTTTCTGGAAGGGTTTCATCAGGCCAGAGGGTGAGTATCCCTGGACTGCCTGAAGGGAGAGGGAGAGAAGGGATGCACAGCTCTGGAGACAGGAGTGAGGATTCAGATGGGGGTGGGGATAAAAGAGAATGGAGAGATCCCTCGACTTCTCAGAAAAGAGCCTTGCTGGAATCCTGTCCTTGACACTTTTTTGCTATGTGGCTTTGGCGATCATATAACTTCTCTGAACCTTCAAACTCTTGTATGCCAAATGGGATGTCTATGGACAGATTACATGGAACCCGTCAGGTTTCTCAGATCGTAGAAGCTAAGAATAGCTGGGCCTGATGAATACTTGGATGAGAAACCACCTGGGAATACCAGGTGCTGTAGATTAAGAGAGAAGCAGCTTGGTAGAGTCAAGAAGACTCAAGAAGCCCTGCCCTGCCTCTAACATGTAGAGGCTGTGTGACTCTGGGCAAGTCACTTAACTCTTCAGTGCCCCAGGCAACTCTCTAAAACTTAGTTGTAGAATGGCTTCCAGTCTTCTTTAATGGAGGGAATTTCCTCTTAGGGTTGTTGTGAGGAAGATGCTTTGTTAACATAAAGCATGATATTATGTAAACTATTATCAATGATGATGGGAATAGGAAAAGAGATAGACCTAGGGATAGAATTGGAGTTTTTGAAGCCAAGATAGTGGAGGGAGAGGGAAAAGGAGGGAGGGAGAAGGGGGGGAGGAAGGGAGAGAGAGAGAGAGAGAGAGAGAGAGAGAGAAGAAATCTTGCTGTTCCCTGCTTAAAAAACAAGATAGCAAGCTGTTTAGACAAAGTCCCACCTCCCTAATAGCCTCTTTCTCTTCTTCTAGCTCGTCCAAAGCTAGACAGTGGGTCCCTCCTTCTTTTGCATAGAAATCTAGGCGAGCCAGAGTCCAGCAGGTGTGTATCAGCAGAGGAGCCAATTTTGTCTGTCCTCCACCCTCCCCTGTACTGACCCTTGTCTGTCCCTTTCTCCTCCTGGCTCCTCCTGCCTCTCCTTCATTCTCAGATTTGTCTTTCTGGGAGTCTGTGTGGGGTTTCTTAGTAGAGAGTGCTTAGGATAAAAATTGTGGATGTGTTAAGTCCCTTCCTCTCCCCCTTCCACAGATCAGAGAACCTGGCTGCCAGTCTGCCACTCCCAGAATATTGTACCAGCCATGGGAAACTCAACCTGGCTTCCTACCTCCCTCCCACCCCTACTCTCTGCCGACTAGAGCCACAACTCTGTGCCTCTTATGGTGAGTCTGTAGGCTCCCTCTGCTCCCAGTTTCTCCTGGCCATGGCCCTTTCCTTATGGCCTATAGCTCTTCACATTCTCCAGGGACAATCTGCAACTGTGTCCCTAAGCCTTACTCCTGGGCCCTGTCGGGAATCTGTACCTGGGTTCTGGCAAACTCAGTGATTCTAGTTTTCACACCCATAACTTCTCTGTGCCCAGGTTCCCACGCCCATCACAGTTAAAGGTCTAACTCCAGCCCCGTTTCCCTGGGTCAGGTGCTACAGCCTGGAATTGCCTTGTGCTCTTAACCTTCGCCCACCCCTCCCCATGCCAGGTGTGAGCCCACAGCACGGGCACCTGGGGACCAAGAATCTGTGTGTGGAGGTAACGGATCTCATCAGTGTCCTGGTCCATGCAGAAGCACCAGTACCTACTTGGCACCGGGCACAGAAAGGTATATTTCCATAGCTGGAGTGGAGCGGAGTGAGGTGGTGGGAGGAAGCAGAAAGGTGAAGGGTGGGCTCAGCTCTACCCCCAACCCCAACATCCTTTTCTCTCCTCTTAGAACTCCTGACATGCCTGGAAGGTGAGGGGCTGTGGTCCCCAGGTAGCCAGGTGGGCGCTGTGTGGCATGTGTTTCGGGCACAGGACGCCCAGCGCATTTGTCGCTTTCTCCAGATGGTGAGGAAGGTGGGATAGGAGCCGAGCAGCCCCTTCCTACTCCACTCCACTCCAATAAATCTCTCCTTCTGGGTTTCACTCCAAACTTCTAAAATATCTTTTCTAGGCTTGCCATTTCTCTTCAATCCACAAATATAAGGCACACAGTCAGACAATCAATGCATCGGCAAGCCTTTATTAAGAACTTTCTTGTGCCAGGCACTGTCCTAGGTGCTGGGAATACAAAGACAGAAATGAAACAGTCCCTGCCCTCAAGGAGCTGACAGTCTATTGGGAAGGCTAACATGCATACATACACAAAATAAATGCGAGGTAATTTGGTGGGATTAGGAAAAGCTTTATGTGTAAAGGGGAACTTGAGCTAGTTTTTGAAAGAAATTAGGGATTCTTGGAGGTGGAGACGAGAATAGAGTAGTCCCAATGCAGAAGGCACAGAGATAGAAAATGGAATGGAAAGTGTGGGCAACAGCAAGAAGGCTAATATGTCTGAATTACAGTGTGATTAAAAAGGAGTAAGGTATAATAAAACCAGAAAGGTAGGTTGAGACCAGCATGTGAAAGGCTTTAAATGCCAGTCAGATATGCACTAAACAACACAGTACACCTAGCAAGCAACAGGCAATGATACTAGGTGGTACATAAGTTGGTGCTATGTTATGTGGTGAAGGGGCATTCCCCAATTTCCTCTAAGGAGCTGCTTTTTCATTTTGATTTTGTCCCCAGTGTGTGCTAAGCATGATTCCTAGTACTCTGAACAAGGTAGCTAGCTAGCTGCCTTCTGTAGACTGAAAACTACTTAATATGAGGGAGCCTTCTCCTGGAGCTTTTGATGAGTTCTTGAATGGGGCAAAGGGAGGGTGCCTTTGGAGGATAATAGCATTCCTACCTTGGGAGTGAGGTGAATGTGGGTATTATAGCACCTCCCCACCTAATTGGGATAGGCTTCTTGGAGGCAGTGGTCTTTGAGAGGCTTCTAGAGGAGGTGACTATGGGAAACATCTTGGAGGGCAATCACAAACAAGGTCAGTGTTGACCATGAATAAGTTGAATAAGATGTGGAAGCAGGTGTAGAAGAGAGCCAAGGAAACCAAGAGGTACCTGGGGGAATTCAGAAAGCAGGGGAGCCTGCTTCAGTGCTCAACAAAAGGGTGGCTCTCCCAGGGAATTGTCTTGGCCAAAAGTCCTTCATCACAAACCTTGAACATATTCTATTACATATATATATATATATGTGTTAAGTCCCTTCCTCTCCCCCTTCCACAGATCACACACACACACACACACACACACACACACACATATATATGTATATATACTGATACACACACATACATACCCTTTCTGGGGTTAATC